CGTTTGGTACTACACATGCCAACCAAATTCCAAGCCTTTCTTGGAGGTTTTTTTTTTCGTTCAGTGCGCCTTGTTATCCTATATTACGTCCTCCCGGAGTGGCTACAGGGAGTACCGACCACTTCCCTCCAGGACGTGTGATTCATGTACACGATTGTGCAACAGCACATTTTTGATTATACAGCGTGATCATCTCCATGCTACTTATCCCGGGAGGTAGATTTGAGCCTGTTGCTTGTCATCCACGCTCCCCGGGCCTCAATTCCTTGTATTTCTTCTTTTGGTGCCACTTAAAACAGCTTGTGTATGAGATGGCGTAAGAATCTAAAGTCGTGTATCCTCGTCGCTTCAACTGACATCGTCAACACACTGCATTTGTTTGAACGCTTACGACAATTCCTAGATCGTTGTTGCCACAAATTCGAACAACAATTCAACAATTTCTTCAACGCAGTTTCAACAATTCTTGTGAAAGTCACTTGCCGCTTAATTTCTGACGTTTAGCTGTGATGTATTATTCATATTGTAAACATGCTTTGCGTTTAATAAATGCCTTCCTTACCTCTTATTGTTCCTTTTCATTATGCAATGGACGTCCTGCGCCGTCCTTTAGTGTGGGAGGGAGGGTAGGAAGGAAGATTAGCTATATTCAAAACAACTTCTTTTTATTTAAAATTATCAACAACAACAAAAATTCAATAACCCAAGTTAAGAAATGCTCCACTTACCAAATATGTGAAGCAATAACTTGGTAGACGAAGTACTAGAATACTTAACAATAAATCAGATCATTTATGTACAGGCAATACACCTTCTAATTCTAATAGACGTAATCACTAACTGACCTAATCGTCAATCTTAATATTGCTCAAATGCTACTAAATGCTCAAGCTTGGTTCACGTTAATCAATCACTGCTATCAGTTTGCAGTCTAAACTATCTCTCTCCAACTCGAAAGTTTAATCTTTATATTCACGTCTTAATTTACATAATCACATCTTCTTCATCTGAAAAAGGTTTTTAAATAGAATTTTTTTACCGGATGGGTAGCACAATTGTTTTGTCGCTGGCCTTCTGTGTCGTCCAAGGTTGTGAGTTCGACCCCAGCCGAAGTTGTGGGATTTTTATAATGCAGAAAATTGACAGCGGCCATGTCGTATACGTCATGTAAAAGATCCCTAGTGACTGTTTGGCTAATGTGCTTTTCGCAAAATTAAAATCCTAGTGCAGGTTTGCATCGTCAGAGCTCGTCTGCCTCCCTCTGGGTGGAAAACTGAGCGTCAAAATTACTTGCGACAATTGGAGTCGCCTTCGCCTAATGATGCCGCGTTAAAAAATGATGCCAACTCCTGGGGAATATACTAGGTCTTCTGTTTAAAAATACAAATGCGTAGCCGTATTAAAAATTAGAATACATTTTAAAGACCCATTAAATATATATTCCCCAAAATGTGGTTCTATTAGTATGAAGAACTTGGATTGACCCGTTACAATTTCAAAACATTTAAACGTCCCATCTGTTTTCTACTGCCTCGACTAAAATTTTCACTCGAACCCCTATTTCTTTGGTCCCCTCTACTAAAATCGTCATTTTGACCCCGATTTCTAAATTGATATCCCCTATCGTTAAATCTGCGATCATTGTTTTGAAACCTATTCCTGCTCTCGAACCACTGATTTCCTTGACGTTTGTTCTGATTACTACCTCTATAATCATTTCTACCATTATTTGGTCTATGTACCACTTCAGAATTTATCCAATTTCCTCGATTATTACCAACATTAGACATCCTACGCTCATTCCAACCTCGTCCTTCCACGGTATTACTATTTCTCGAACCCAATGTTGCCTTGCACGAATATCTTTCCTCAATCTTAGCTAATACTTCTAATAATTGGATCGCGGTTTGGGGATTACGCATCTCCACATAATCTTGAACTTGCGGCTCAAGTCTAACGAAAATGTGATGTACAAGGGCTTTCTCAGACATCCTCAGTTCTAACTTTTTATTTAATTTTAGTAAATCGTAAACAAAATCTATCGGCTCCTTGTTCTGTCTTTGCTAAGTCGCGTAAAAACGGGTTTCTAAATCCTTCCTAATTTGGATGGCAGGGAATGCTTTCGGCAATGCTGCTTTCAGCTGTGTGAAGTCCGTGGCGGTATTTTGCACTAACGTTGATCCGAATATTTGGTACCACTCCAGGGCTCTACCCATGAGATGACCTTTTAAAAACGCACACGATAAGTCACTGGGTATTTCAAGTAATTTAATTTGGTTATCTATACCCTCTAAAAATTCGGTGACGTTCTCCGACTCAGAAAAATATACTTCTGGCGAAACATTAAATCCTCTCGCGTTTCTCATGTCGAGTTCATATAGATTAAACCTAGTTGGGCACCATTGTGATGTAACTCCCCTTGGAAGTACATCCCTCGAAGCATCAGCGTGAGCTAGAGGTGTAGGATTAACGTAAGAACTAGAATCAAACATCACCTTAATATGACTTTATTAAGATATTCAACTTAAACTTTGAACAAATATAATCTTATTAATGAATGGGAGAATCTACGATGAAGCAAAACGCAACACACAATTTAATTCAGACCTATCTCAATAATTGAACCGCCTCATCTTCAAATATAATAATAAGTAATCAATCCTACCTTATATTATTCTGTAATAAACTTGTCTTTATCTATAGTGGTAAGTAGCTTTACTTTTACTTCTAATCGATCACCAATATGTTTATCCACAACACGTAGAACTTGAATCTTTGAACGACGAACTTCAATAATCATCCAATACCACAACGCACTTTAATTGTCGAACATTCTTTTACGCTACCATTACATTTTCATCATTTCCCTCACGCTTACTCTAAGATCCTATATTTATCCTATATTATTTACATCTCTTCACGTCTCGTTTCTTGGATTTGGTTGGAAAAGAGTTGCCATTAATTCTGGCCCAAAGAACCCAAAGGACTTGTTAAAGAAAAGACGCGTAAGTTGTCACAAAATGATACAAGTTTTGTGCCAATAAACATGCTCATACACGCAAAGGTGGCGCTAAAATCAGGAAGAGGGTGCTATATAAGCCAGCGCAAATTCGAAGATTCATAAACGTGGCGATTACCCGCCGATTGTAGGAAGACTTTGGTAAGCGAAACATGCCAGGTAAACGTGCTAGAAGACATTTCTCACAGTTAAGCCAGTTTGAGAGATGCCTGATCATCGGGATGAAAACTGCAGGCTGGTCGACGCGCCATGTTGCTGGCCAGGTGGAACGTTCGGAGTGTGCCGTTAGAAATTGTTGAAAGCAGTGGAGACGAGAAGGTACCCACGCGCGGAAAACCGGGTCTGTAGAGACCAGGAAGACCCCGAGGAGAGAGGATAGAAGGATCGTGTGGCAAGCAGTTGTGGACCCCACAGTGACTCGTTCAACGATACGAGCAGACGTAGGCGTAGCAATTGTTCCACAAACAATGTCCAGACACCTTGCTGAAACAAGTCTTAAATCCAAGCACCCTTTCCGTGCACTCCCTTTAACACCGGTACTTCGTCAATTGCGTTTACAGTGGTACCAAGACAGATGAATGTGGAATGTCACAGATTGGCAAAAAGTTGTGTTTAGTGATGAATCCCGGTTTGTTTTGGGGACCAGTGATAACCGTGTACGGGTGTGGAGGCGCCCTGTTGAGCGGTACAATTCCCCATACACTGTTCTACGTTACACTGCCCGCACACCTGGTGTAATGGTCTGGGTGGACATAGCCTATGATAGCCGGTCCACTTTAATTGTGATTCGTGGAACCTTAACGGGCCAACGTTACGTTGATGATATTTTGCGACCCTATGTAAGACGTTTCCTAAATGATCTCCCAGGGGCAATTTTCCAGCAAGATAATGCTCGTCCGCATACAGCAAGAGTTGCTCAAGACTTCCCACGTCATTTTCAGACTCTTTCATGGCCATCCCGTTCCTCCGATTTGTCCCCTTAGAGCACGTGTGTTATCAGCTAAAACGGCAGATGCAATCATGTCACTCTGTACATAATTAAAGTTGGCTGTTTAAGATTTGTGGGCCCATCTGCCTCAGGACAGCATAAGGTGTCTAATCAACTCAATGCCGGATCGTGTGGCGGTATATATTGCAGCTGGAGGTGGTCCAACGCGCTATTGAAGTTGCCCAGTATTTGTGTCTTTACACAACGTGTATTCGTTTAATTGTCTTGTTTTTGAGATCGAGTTAATCTCTCATTTGTGTCATTAAGTGTATTAAATTTCATTTCAATCCAATGCTTTCTATTTGGGTTGCTATTTTCAATGTTCTTGAGTGTATAAAGAAGTTTATTGGAAACAGTCCTTTTTCAAATATGGTCAAGTGACAACAAAAGTACTTTACCATAAAAGTACATTCCTTTTCAAGTATATCCATAATATAATATAAGATGCAGCAAAATTTATTACTCTATGCAACGGCTTTTCTCGCGTATTGATCATAAATGTTAATTCCTAAACATGAACTTCTGTAAATTTTGTTTACAAAAGCCATGAATTACATGAGAGAAAATCATACTGTATTTTTGAATTTCTTTAAGGAATTTTTGAAGTTATACTTCTTTTGAGAGGCGTTAGAGAAATAGGATGAGGGTTAATTTTTACGATGCGTGAACATACCGTCAAGGATTTGACGCATGCGAAAATACTTTGTCTAGAAATATACGGAACGGGACAGATCATTGCCGCCTTCGAAATTCTCAAGAAAATAGTTCGCTTCACTTTCCTGAAGAAGGGGACTCCCGTGTTTGAACCGGAGACTTCTCAATTTGCAGTCGAATTCTTTACTACTGAGCTATAACCCGCGTTAGCGAACATTTGCTTTGCATTCTTTAGGAACGGATACGAAAATGCTTTGTCTAGAAATATATAGAAAGGGACAGATCACACACACTTCCGAAATTCTCTTCGAAAAGTATTTCTCTTCACTTTCCTGAAGAAGAGGATACCGGGATTGAACCGGGGATTTCACGATCTGTAGTCAAATGCTCTAAAACTGAGCTATACTCCCGCGTCAGCTAACCTTTGCTTTGCATTCCGTAAGAACGGATATAGATAAATGCTTTTATTAGAAATATTTAGAACGGGACAGATCATTCTCGCCTTCAAATTTCTCAAAAAAGCATATTTCTCTTCACTTTCCTGAAGAAAGGGGCTCCCAGGTTTGACCAAGGATCTCTCGATCTGCAGTCAAATGCTCTATCAGTGAGATATACCCCCGTGTCGGCGAACCTTTGCTTTCCGTAGGAAAGGATACGAAAATGATTTGTCTAGGAATATACAAAACGGGATAGATCATTGCCGCCTTTGAAATTCTACAAAAAAATTCTCTTCACTTCCCTGAAAAAGAGGACACCCGGGTTTAAACCAGGACATCTCAATCTGCAGTCGAATACTTTACAACTGAGTTATACCCCCTCGTCAGCGAGCATTTGCTTCGTGTTCTTTAATAACAGATACGAAAATGCGTTGTCTAGAAATATACAAAAAGGGACAGATAACACACATTCCCGCCTTCTAGATTCTCAAGCATAATATTTCTCTACACTTCCTTGAAGAGGAGGACACCCGGGTTTGAACCGGTGATCTCTCGATTAGCAGTCAAATGCTCTGCCACTGAGCTATACCCTCCGTGTCTATGAACCTTTGCTTTGCGCTGATTTGTGACATTGCTACTAGTAGGGAGACATCGTCCTTTGCCTACGGAGCTTCTCTGATGCATTTATTTGAAGACTTTTTGTAATTAAACCAAACATACTTACAGGAAATTAAAAAAAACAATTAGTATATTAATCTTTCATGTATTTAATGTACATAAAACTTAAATTATTATAGATGTACATAAAACATAAATATTAGGTCTCCTATTTAAATTGCAATTGCAAGTATATGTTTATAGATGTATTTAATACGAACGCATTGCGATGAACATAAACACATTTATTACATTGTAGCAAATTAAAAGAGCCTTTTGTATTATGATACCCCATCTTTTTGGTCTTATTGTCCCTGTGTGGGGTTGTCTAAATTAATCTTAATCGTGATTATCTCAGGCTTGGCTGGTCCAATTGACTGAAGGTTAGTATCATTCAACTCTGCTCCCCTTGGCCCAGATTGCTCTGCTAAAGATTTTTACAAAGATTTTAATCTTGTTACGCCAAAGAAATATAACTTCTTACGTGCGTACATAAGTACACACACACTTTTTAAATCTTACAAGATAATCTTACACTTTTAAGACAAAACTTATTTTTGTAAAGCATACATTTCCATGTTAAACAATTGAAATTGAAATATTCGTACATTCTGCTAGCAATAATTTCCAAGTATCTCCCTTTAAGACCCAACCCTCAAGATCGTGCCGGCTAGACATCCTTATACATTTTGTCTTCTAGAATAGTCGTATGTAATAAAATCCCGAATTGAATGATTGAACGTGTTTGTAGAAGATGTAAATTATCATTTTTTATCAATAGACGGTGGTTGTAGTCCATGGTTTACTTTCAGCTGGCAAATCTAACTTGGTTTTCAAATACAACGAAAACACGTCTTTTTTTATCTGTGGCAAAAAGGTAATAATCGATATATTTCTAATTGCTTGGATACAAATGATTGTATTAATATTTAAATAATTGTGAAATAGAAAATAAATATTAATTATGCTCTATTAAGGTGGCTTTTGGGGCTCGAGATTTCGTTACCCGCACGATCGTGCGGGTTGGACGTTACTTGAGTCACTGCAACTGTAAAGGTAAGTACTTAACATGCGAGTTTTCTTTTCTGCTTCAATAATTTTGATGAAAGACTACATAAAAATGAAATATATAGTTATATAATTAATACCAAACATTCTTGGGGGTCGCCATGGATGATTCCCTTTTTTTATTTCTCTCTCTCTTTCTTGCAATTCATTTTCTTTTCCATACATTTGTTGAGGAGTATGGCATTTTTATTCTCTCCACAGATATCTGCATCCATATTTCTCCCCCCCCCCTCCAAACAAAATCTGGGTTTTCTGGTGGTAGTTAGTATGTGTGGTTTAAATATATATATATATATGTTTAAATAATAAAGTTTTCTGATACGTTTTACTCTTTTTCATGGAATATTGTGTTAACTTTCAACCAAAAACATTTTCAGGCGTCTAAAAGGAGAAGAATTTTCACTGAAGAAATTTTTCAATTGATGAATAAATCAATTTGAAATTAGATCAGAACTTAGTGATCTCTCGGATGATGACAATACTGCAGATAAAACTTATGAATCGCGTATACTGGAAGGATAATTAAGTTCAGATGAGAGTGTTGAAGATAAACATGGTAATATTTGAAATAAAAAAAAACAGTTTTGGATCATTCTTTACCATAAAAGTCTTTTGAACACATTCATTACATTGATTTAGCTGTTGCAAATTCTTGGCTTCTGTGCAAACAAGATGCAATATCAAATAAAATTCCTCTAAAAATCAAATTGGATCACTTAAAATTTGAGTTCGAGGTATTTAAAGCGTTATCAGCCTCTCCACCTACTAACAAAAGTATTTTAACTGATGATGAAGGTAACAGTGTAGTAATCTCACTCGCAAAAAGATCAAAGCGTTATAGTCCACTTGTCATACATGTCATGGCTTTTATCCTGGCCATTCCAGGATAAAAGGCTTGAAATGTGTAGCCCTTTTCGATGTGTTGATGACATTTCAAGGCATCGCAAGTGCAGATTTGAAAACTACGAAAGCAGTAAAAAAAACATGCTGTAAAAAATGCAATGGTTATTTATACTTGTCAAAAAATAAAGCAGTAATAAACAATAAATTAATAAAAAAGTTAATTTTCATCAATATTTTCCTTATTTGTAAAAATTTTAGTTGAATTAAGATTGTTTCTTTTATCAACTTAGAGCTAAAAATGTACAACTCGTAAAATTTCATGAGTGACTTGTAACAAAGATAACGCCCAACCCGCACGATCATGCGGGTACCGTCTGCATTCCAGGCAGGGAGCGGGAATTTTTTTTATTATTTTTTCCAATGTTATTGGGGTCCATATAGTATAAATAGCCAGAATAATTTAATATTTGAATATAAACATAACTCGGCTCTTATGGGAATATAATAGAGTGCTTTTTTTTCCAGGTATAGAAGTTAAAGTCGGCATTACTTTCCCAGATGGCGACCGATTTAATAGCTGTCAAGTGATTTATTCTCAGTTTGGTATGGCAATTCAACAAAACGATCATCAAGAAAGGCGTAGATTCGTCGAATGGGCCCAAAACGAGATTGCCGTGGTTCCCGATTTTCATAAGCTAAATTTGTTTAGCGATGAAGCACACTTCTGGTTGAATGGCTACGTCAACAAACAAAACTACCGCATTTGGAGTGAAGCTAATCCACAAGTGTATGTCGAAACACCGTTACATCCAGAAAAAATGACTGTTTGGTGGGCTTTATGGGCTGGTGGAATCCTTCTTCAAAAACGATGAAGGCCACAATGTTACAGTCAATGGTGATCGGTATAGAGCCATCATTACTAACTTTTTCATCCCTGAATTGAACAATCATGATGTCCAGAAGCTGTGGTTCAAAAAAGACGGCGCAACATGTCACACAGCTCGTGCCACAATCGATTTATTGAAAGACACGTTTGGTGACCTGCGAATTGGCCTCAAGATCTTGTGATTTAACACCGCTAGACTATTTTCTGTGGGGCTATGTAAAGTCATTGGTCTATGCGGATAAGCCACAAACGCTTGACCATTTGTAAGACAACATTCGCCATGTTATTGCCGATATACGGCCACAAATGTTGGAAAAAGTCCTCGAAAATTGGACGTCCAGATTGGACTACATTAGAGCCAGCCGTGGCAGTGCTATGGCAGAAATCATATTTAAAATGTAATGCCGCAAGATTATCTTTCGAATAAAAAAAATTCATGTCAATCGAATAATACATCGTTGTTTTATTGCAATTTAAAGTTCTATACCTCTAAAAAAACACCCTTTACCAGACGGAAGTTTTTTTCTGTTGTCTATAAATAATATTACCTTTTCTTGAAGGACAGTTTGTGTGCTTTTTAAGTGTATCAAAATTAAAAACATTGAAATTCTTGTTGTCAAATATCCCATGTAATTTGTGTCATATATATATATGATGATTCGAGGTAAGCATGGGAACTTTGGAAAAAAACAGTTTTTTACTAAGACAGCTATTCAACATATCTTCACAGCCAACGCCAACTGTAATGATTTGGAAATGGATTGTATATTTATTTCCATAACTGACAAATCATCATTTTTTAGTTTATGTTTCGATAGTAGAGTAAAGTTTGGAAACATACGGCTGAAGACCGTAAGAAATAAGGAGCTGGAATTGGAATATGATGTTAGGGCAGTCTTCTCTTAGAAAGTATTAGCTGTTTAATTTAATACCCCAAAACGTTCGATCTAAAATATAATTTTGTTGAGTTTATAAATTAATTATCCTTACCTATATCTGTAAACAAAATGAAAATATATATATATCTTTTCAATTATTTTGAAATCTTTACTATGGGATATAATAGTTAATTAGCGTAAAATGAACTATATATGTTCCAATTTTATTTTTAAATGTTCCTGAAATATATATATATATCCGTTAAAATATATAATTCAATTATTTCATAGAATAACTAGGTATTCTATGAAATAAAACTAAAATGAAAAATAAACAAGTTCAAAGATGATTTTAAATTAATTGATCATAAACAGCTAAAATCTTTTGAAAAATTCATTTTAGCCCTTTTGCGGATGAATAATTGATAGATAATAAGGGAAAGCAGAAATAATATACACTGCTGGCCCCCGTAAATGCAAGTAACATGAAATTTACAACATGCATTAGCGGAGGTAAGATATGTAAATGATTAGAATTTCAGCGCAGACACACATCACGCGCGCCTGTGTTGACACCTCAAGGCGCTATTTAAGGCTTGGAGATTTCGATGATTTCAAGTTCTACAATTGTGTTTTTCTTGTGGGTTTCTCAAGAAACGTTCAGTTTTGAGGACAAGCAACGTGATGACAGGCAAATTATGCGCATGACAGTGACGGATCACTCAGTCACATCACGAACCATAGCACAGCACATTGAGTCTGTAACGCATCATTCAATGTCTGCGTGTACCATTCGACGCTGTTTACAGCAGAGTGGCCTGTGCGCAAGACGTCCATTGCTTGGTCTACCCTTGACGCAGAACCACAGACGTCTCCGCTGCCAATGGTGCGATGAAAAAAAGGGTGTGGGCAGCAGAATGGATTGAAATTGTTTTTACTGACGAGTCACGCATCTGTCTGCAACACACGATGGTCGGATTCGAGTCTGTAGACACCGTGGAGAGAGGATGCTGAACAGCTGCGTTATGCACCGCCACACAGGTCCTGCACCGGGTATTATGGCATGGGGCGGTATTCGATATCTCTCTCGCACTCCTCTAGTACGCTTTGCTGGTACTTTAAACAGCCAGCACTACACCTCCGAGGTGTTGGAGCCCGTTGTCCTTCCTTACCTTCAGGGCTTGGTCACAGCCATATTTCAACAGGATAATGCGTGACCACACTTGACACGCATTGTCCAAAGGTTCTTCGTCAATCACCA